TTGTGATTTACATTTCTGTGATGATTAGTGATGTTGAGCATTTTTTTCCCATATATTTGTAGGCCATTTGTATGTCTTGTGAAATGTCTTTTGAGATCATATGCCCATTTTTTAATTGAATTTTTGTTCTCTGTTGAGCTATTTCAGTTCCTTATATTTTCTGGATGTTAACTCCCTGTTGGATGAGTAATTTGCATGTATTTTCTCCCATTCTGTAGTTGCCTTTTCGCTCAATTGTTTCCTTTGCTATGCAGAAGCATTTTTTAGTTTGATATAATCCCATTTGTTTATTTTTGCTTTTATTGCCTGTGTTCATGAGATTATTCATAAAATCTTTTTCCAGATCAATGTCCTGAGGCTTTTCCCCTGTGTTTTCTTCTAGTTTCTGGTCTTAAATTGAGGTGTTTGATCCATTTTGAGTTGAATTTTGTATAGGGTAAGAGGTGAGGGTCTGGTTTTATTCTTCTGTGTATGGATATCCAGTTATTCTAGCACCATTTATTGAAGAGACTGTCTTTTCCCCAATGAGTGTTCTTGGTACCTTCATCAAAAGTCAAATGTAGATATGTGGCTTAATTTCTTAATTTCTCTATTCTGTTTAATTGGTCTGTGTGTCTATTTTTATGCCAGTAGCATGCTGTTTTGGTTACTACAACTTTGTGGTATATTTTGAAGTGTGGTAGTGGTATCAACTACTAGATTTGTTCTTTTTGCTTAGGATTGCTTTAGCTATTGAGTCTTTTGTGGTTCCATACAAATCTTAGGATTTTTTCCCTAATTCTGTGAGGCATGTCATTGGTGTTTTGATAGGGATTGCATTGGATATATAAATTTCTTTGGGTAGTGTTGTCATCTTAATAATATTAATTCTTCTGATCCATGAGCATGAGGTATATTTCCATTTCATTTGTATCCTCTTAAACTTACTTCATCAGTGTTTTATAGTTTTCGTTATAGAGGTCTTTTACCTCCTTGGTTAAATTTCTTCCTAGGTATTTTAGTTTCTTTGATTTTTGTATCTATTGTAAATGGGATTGCCTTCTTGATTTCTTTTTCAGCTAGTTTGTGTATAGAAACACTGGTTTTTGTATATTAATTTTGTATCCTGCAACTTTATGGAATTCATTTATCAGATGTAAGAGTTTTCTGGTAGGGTCTTTAGGTTTTTCTGTATAGAAGATCATGTCACCTGCAAATGGGGACATTTGGCTTCCTGCTTTCCAATTTGGGTACTCTTTATTTCCTCCTCTTGCCTAAGTGCTCTGGTTAGGACTTCTCAGACACAGGGATGTTTTTGTGCTAAGTTCCATCTTCTGACCCCAATCCTAACCTCAACTTTAGCCTCTGTGGGCAATGGGTACTTTGGAATTCTTAGCTTTTACAGACTATAGATGAAGCACAGATAACCACTTCTCTCCTTACATTCCATTCTTCACTGTCAGTATCATAAGAATCTGGCATGTTCATTCTTCTTTGGTGCTGCCCTCTCGCTCAACCTTAGCCACACTAGAGCTCCAGGCCACATCCTGAAAAGAATTAGCCTGGCCTCCCAGTGACTTTCTTGATTTGGCATCTGTCAGTAATTCAGCTGATTTGCCCACCAAAATAACCACTAGCCACCCCTGAAGCCCGAGTGCATAACATGTCATCCCAGTTTGCCATGCCCACAGACAGTTCCTTTGGCTCCTGTTTTGGCAAAGTCTTAGCCCCATCCTATGAATTCTCTTCCCATTGTTAAACAGAGACCCAGCTGGGAAAACAAGGCTGAAATTCTGACCCTGTCCTCTCTTTGCCTGATTTGCAGCTGACTAGGGCAGATGGAATTGATTTAAGCCCTGGACTATGGGGGAGTGAAAAGGGTGGGTTATGATAAAGAGAGACAGGCTGCTGGACTTCTTCAGAGGCGGGCCCTGGCCAGGGGAGGCAGAATTCCTTCATGCTTACCCTCAGTGTAGCAAATCAATTTGCAATGGCTTGTAGCTGCTGGAGCACTGGGTCTGGGGCACCCCCAGCTGCATGTGGAGTAAGTTGGTTGCAGACTAGAAGGCAAAGCATTTTTTGCCTTTGCCGTTTGTGTGGCACCCAGGCCTGAAGAAGTCAGCTTTGATTAAGATTTGAAACTTAATCAAAAGCTGCTGAGAGTTAGATTTAATGACAGCACCGGAATGCTTGGTCTCTGTGTTCTCTTCCAGCTATCTCACGTGAGAGGGCAGTGGAGCTTCTTAGGAAATGTCTGGAGGAGGTGAGTAGTTCCCATGGGATCCTGAAAGGAATGTTTGTGTCTCTGTTTGCCAGTGTTGTTCCTGTTCCTCGGTTATATTTTTTCTGATTTTTGCCAGAAGGTGTAATACATACCCACTAACCAGATGTGAAGTTGCTACCAGGGATAGAGTTTGGTGTGGGTAGCAAGCTCATTTTTCTCTCACAGATTACCTCCTCAATGTCAGCTTTATAATTTAATTCTTTCTGGTTTATCCAAACCAGTGGTTCTCAAATTGTAGTGTGTATAAGTGTCACCTGGGAAACTTGTTAAAACAGATTGCCATCTCTGCCCAACCCTCAATTCTGATTCCACTGTTCTGAGGTACAAACTGGGAAGCTCTGCTTTAACTGGCAATTGTAGGTGATTTTGCTGCAGGTGGTAGCAAAGTACAGGTTTGCATCAAGTACTGAGGCTGTACTTGAAGAACTTCTGCCCTAAACTTTTTTTTAATTTGAGACAGAGTTTCGCTCTTGTTGCCCAGGCTGGAGTGCAGTGGCACGATTGCAGCTCACTGCAACCTCCGCCTCTGGGTTCAAGGAATTCTCTTGCCTTAGCCTTCTGAGTAGCAGGGATTACAGGTGCCCACCACCATACCCGGCTAATTTTTTGTATTTTTAGTAGCGACAGAGTTTCACCACGTTGGCCACTCCTGACCTCAGGTGATCCGCCTGCCTCAGCCTCCCAAAACGCTGGAATTACAGGCGTGAGCCACCACCACGCCCGGCCCTGCCCTAGACTTTGTACCTGCTCTGTTCTTGTGCCACCTGGAATTGCCATACTGCCTGCTCCCTTAATAGTGCATGAGTCTTTGTAATCTGGAGAGAAAGCCTTCCCTAAGAATTCAGGAAGGCCATAGAAAGCAACTAGGAAGCTTTGGGCAGAAGGCGAGAGTAGACTTTGGTTTGTGAGGCCAAGATTACAGAACACACCCTTTCTAATATTTCTCCTTAGAGTCTAAGGCTTTGGGAATGGATGGAGGATGGGGAGGTCAAAAGCCAGCCACATTAGTTTTTTCATTCTTTTACTGTTCCTGTGGCTTAAGGATGAACTTGAACTCATGGTTTAGTAAGAGAGTAGGAAGATAAGAGCAGAAGCATTGGGAGTAATGTCAGTTTGCCTCTTACACAAGCCTTTTGGTTTCAGTCCACAGTGCCTACCCCATTCCCCCCTCCCTTTTTTTTTTTTTTTTAAATGGGGTCTCGCTTTGTCACCAAGACTGGAGTGGAGTGCAGTGGCACCATCATAGCTCGCTGCAGCCTGGACTTCTGGAACTCAAGCGATCCTCCCAAGTAGCTGAGACTACAGACAGGCACCACCACACCCACCTCATTATTTTGTTTTTAAGAGATGGGGGTCTTGCTATGTTGCCTAGGCTGATCTTGAACTCCTGGGCTCAAGATATTCTCCCACCTCAACCTCCCAATTACAGGCCTGTGCCACTGCTCCTGGCCTCTGCTTTGTTCTGAGGGCAATCACGTTTTGTTAGCTTATTATCTTGAGACATTTTAAGAGAGACGTCTGTGTTTACCAGACTGATGGGTAACAGACTATGGGGAACAGAACACTGGATTGTCTCATTCTTTCATCAGCTGACTGACCAGAGACAGGCTTTTAGCGGCATCTCCCATTTCAGCCTCCCTGCCTCTCAGTGATCCTCCAGCTGCCGTTTAGTACCCTCTACCACTAGAGTACTCGTGCCCTACTGCCAGCTGCCTCCAATAGAATTTCAGTTCTACAAAAGCAGGGATTTTTGTTTGCTTGTATCCCCAGTGTCTAGAACAGAGCCTGGCACATAGTTAGTAATTATTTGTTGACTGATTTCCTCCATGTCTCTCTGCAGCTCCAGAAACGCTTCATCCTGAATCTGCCAACCTTCAGTGTTCGAATCATTGACAAAAATGGCATCCATGACCTGGACAACATTTCCTTCCCCAAACAGGGCTCCTAACATCATGCTCTGCCTCCCATTTGCCAGGGAACTTTTTTTGATGGGCTCCTTTATTTTTTTCTACTCTTTTCAGGTGCACTCTTGATAAATGGTTAATTCAGAATAAAGATGACTATGGATATAATTGAGCCCTCTGGTCCGGGTCTCAGTTTACCTAATATTACCTCAGAAAAGATATGGAGGGAAACTGATCTTTTTGCCAGGTCTGACTTTTCTTCCTGCTCCGCCCTCCGTTAACACCCAGCACCCTTTAGCAGCTGATGGCCGCACGTTCTACTCCACTCTTGGTTCCTTTCCAGCTAGCTCTTTCATATATTTTACTTGCTAATATCTCCATTCTCTCTAAAGTAGTGGTTATGTTTGCCCTTAAACTTAAATTTTTTTAAATTAATTAACCTGAATGAATAATATATGCACTTAATAAAACATGCAAACAGTACAAAAACATGTAGTGAAAAATATTTCTTCCATAGCTGGGTGTGGTGGCTTATGCCTGTAATCCCAGCACTTTGGGAGGCCGAGGCGGGCGGATCACGAGGTCAAGAGAACAAGACCATCCTGACCAACATGGTAAAACCCTGTCTCTACTAAAAATACAAAAATTAGCCGGGTGTGGTGGCGTACACCCCTAGTCCCAGCTACTGGGGAGGCTGAGGCAGGAGAATCGCTTGAACTCGGGAGGCAGAGGTTGTAGTAAGCCTAGATTGTGCCACTGTACTCCAGCCTGGAGACAGAATGAGACTCCGTCTCAAAAAAAAAAAAAAAGAAAAATGTTTCTCCCATCCCTATAATCCAATCACCTGCTTCCGGCTTCCCTTCCGGGAGGAAACTTCAGCTACTAATTTCTCATGTTTTTTAAGAGGTACTCTTTTACTGTGTAATGTGCACATACATACAGACACATGCCCCCTTTAAATTTTTTAGATTTATTTATTTATTTAGAGACAGGGTCTTACTCTAGCCCAGGCTGGAGTGCTGTGGCGTAATCTTGGCTCACTATAACCTCCGCCTCCTGGGGCCAAGTGATCCTCCCATCTCAGCCTCCTGAGTAGCTGGGATTACAGGCGTACACCACCAATGCCCAGCTAGTTTTTGTGTTTTTCATGGAGACAGGGTCTCACCATGTCATTCAGGTTGGTCTTGAACTCCTGGGCTCAAGCAGTCTGCCTGCCTTGGCTTCCCAGTGTTGGGATTACAGGCGTGGCCACCGTGCCCGGCTAAAAAGTATTTTTAATGTTCTACATATTGCTTATTTCACTTAACACTATATTAGAAATTGTTTTATATCAATACACATAGATATGCTTATTCTTGTTGAGAGTTGCATAATTTTCCATTAGATTGATGTATCATGGGCAGTTAACCAGATACCCGTTTTTCTCTTAGCCTACCTTTAGGGAACAATGTAGATGTTTTGTGGTTAAAGTCACTAAAACAGTGTTTCTTAACCAGATGTGTGTTTCAGAATGTTCACCTCACATTTCCAGTTGCTACTGATGCTGCCGGTCTAGGAACCACATGCCAAAACCATTTGGTCTCAGACTAGGATAAACCCTACTTTATCCAATTCTGTGCTCCTCTTAATACCATATACAGATAGGTTTTTGGTTTGTATGTGATGAAATGTGTCATCTAAGATACTACCTACTGATCCTAACGTTCATGTTAAAGTATTGGGTTAACATTAGATTTGGGTGTCTTATACACTGTTTAATACACCAATGGTAAATGCCTTATACCATAAGAAGAAAGCTAATTGTTGAGTAAATGGGAGAAAAGAGATGATTCACATCACTACAGTTGATTCAACCTCCAACACCACCATGAATATGCATAGGTTTGAGCTTTTAGCTAGATTCCTAGGTGTAAGGCATCTATTTTAAAAGTGTCACAGGTGGCCGGGCACGGTGGCTCAAGCCTGTAATCCCAGCACTTTGGGAGGCCAAGGCGGGCAGATCACGAGGTCAGGAGATCGAGACTATCCTGGCTAACATGGTGAAACCCCCGTCTCTACTAAAAAAAAATACAAAAAACTAGCCGGGCGAGGTGGCGGGTGCCTGTAGTCCCAGCTGCTCAGGAGGCTGAGGCAGGAGAATGGCGTGAACCCGGGAGGCGGAGCTTGCAGTGAGTGGAGATTGCGCCACTGCACTCCAGCCTGGGCGATGGAGCGAGACTCCATCTCAAAAAAAAAAAAAAAAAAATAGCGCCACAGGTGATTCTGATGCCCTACCCAGTGGAGTTCTGCTACTAAAGCACAGGCTCTCCTGCTACATGATTTTCCCATCTGTACAATGATTGAAATAGCACCTATTCCATGTGGTAGATAGGAGAATTCCATGAGGTAATATAGGTAAACATTTAGTTCAGGGCCTGGCATGTGGTAAGTGCTCAGTAAGTGTATAATGATTGGTAAACTTGTTTTTCTGCATTCAGGCCTCACCAGGGATGACATACGGTTCTCTGCCTTTGAATATAAGTGTCCCCAGGGCAATCTGAGGCCAGCCTGCAAACCCATCCTGACTCTCCGTGTTGTTTTGCCAACCTGGGTCTCTTTCCTGGGCTCCAAATCAACTCATTCCTAGATAGCTCACCCTCTAGATTTAGGGACATCGAACTCAGTATGTCTAAAACTGAGCCTTACCATCTGCCCCTCTCCAAACCTCCTCTATGACATTCTGTCTTAGAGAATTAGAGCCACCTGGTTTCCCAAGTGCCCAAGTCAGAAACCCAGGCATCATTTATTTTTAATAAGTGTTTTATTTTGGAATAAATTTGGTTTTACAGAAAAATTGCAAAGATAATACAGGGTCCTTATACCCGTTATTCAGTTTCTATAATGTTAACAACTATATACCATAGTATATTTGTCAAAACTGAGAAACCAACATTGTTTGGTGTATTAGTATTACTAAGCTCCAGGCTTTATTCAGATTTTACCAGTTTTTCCACTAATTTTCTTTTGTTCTAGGATATAATCCAAGATGCAACATTGCATTTAGCAGGGCATCATTTTAATGCCATTCTTTATCTGCTGTCTCTACATGGCCACCAAGTTCTGGCATTTCTACATCCTAAATCTTTTAATTTTATTACAATTTTTTATTGTTGTTTTTCAGAGAGAGAGTCTTGCTCTATCACCCAGGCTGGAGTGCAGTAACACGATCATAGCTTACTGCAGCCTTGAACTCCTGGACTCAAGTGAACCTCTTAACCCCAACCTCCCAACTAGCTGGGACTAGAGGTGTGTACCACCACACCCAGCTAATTTTGTAAAAATTTTTTGTAGAGACAGGGTCTCACTATGTTGCCTAGGCTGGTCTTGAACTCTTGGCCTCAAGTGATCCTCCCACCTTGGTCTGCCAAAGCACTGGGATTACAGGTGTGAGCCACTGCACCCAGCCTAAATCTTTATAAATCTCCATCCCCATTACTCTGGTTCACCCCGTATCGTTTCTTAGACTATTTAACAGCCTCCTAACTTCACTCTACTTTTAATCTCTTCCCTCTCCAGGTCTCTCTCCATACTTTAAAAAACTAGTTTCACCATCCATTCCCATTCCTCTCTACCCTTAAAACTTTCTGGTGGTTTTCCATGACTTAAGAGACTAAAGCCCAATTCTTTGGTTTGGCATGCTAGGCATTCCATAATCCTCTCCTAACGTAACTCCCCACTTTCCTTTCCCTCTTTTACACCTCATAAAGCCTGTGTTCCAACTAAATTTACATGGCCTTGGTCATTCACTCATGACTTCACACCTATATATACCTACTACAAGAAGGGTAAGCACTGCTTTGTGGAATTTTTCTTACAGAGGAGGGTGTGTGTGTGTAGTCATGACATAGTGTGGTCTGGTAACTTCTGTTTTCTTCCGCTGGATTTTAGTTTTTAAAATGCCAGCTGTGTCCTAAATCAATTTGTCCTAAATCAATGTCCTGAAGTTTAAAAACCACTGGGAATATACCCATTCTTTAACACTCCTGGCCAAACACTGTTCAGAATGGAGTTCTGATTAGCTCCCATCTGCTTTCAGGTGATTAATACACAGAAAAACAAATTATTCCTTCCCAGACTTGGGGTGGGAGGGGGGATAGGTTGGAGAAGAGAGCAGCTGTTTTGCCTCAGGGTAGGGAAGCTCAGCCCTACTAGAGAGGGGATGGGAAGGCAGGAACCTTTGAGAGATGGAAGAGGCCACAGAAATGGCCCAAGAGCTTGGTGTTGGTAGCTGAGCAGCCACGCTAGGTCTGCCCTGCCTGGAGCCCAGAGTCCTTTCATTTCTGCTCCTCTTGGCCTTTTGACAAAAGCAGCAGCAGTGCCCAAGCAAGAGAAAGAGGCGCATTCTTGGGTTCTCTCTAAATGTCTACTGCTTGATTACTCCAGTGTGTGAATTATGAGTTAGTGTGTTTGGGAGGAGAAACCTGCAACTTGCCTTCACTTACCTTCCTTCATGGGATGGAATGTTTTCAAAGACTGAACTTTTCATATTTATTCTGGAATACTATGATCCTTTAAGAGAAAGTAGGAAAGTCTTTAAACTCCAAATTGGAATGCTTACCCAGTCTAAACACTCTCCGTTTAATTCACAACTACTTGTTTGCAAAAAAAGAAGACATGTAAACAATCTGTGTATCTTTATTTTTTATTTTTTAATTTAATTTTATTATTATTATTATTATTTTTTTTTTTTTTTTTGAGACAGAATCTCGCTTTGTCACCCAGGCTGGAGTGCAATGGCACGATCTTGGCTCACTGTAGACTCTGCCTCCTGGGTTCAAGAAATTCTCCTGCCTCAGCCTCCCGAGTAGCTGGGATTACAGGCGTGCAACACCACACCCAGCTAATTTTTGTATTTTTGTAGAGACAGGGTTTTACCATGTTGGCCAGGATGGTCTTGGAACTCCTGACCTCAAATGATCTGCCTCAGCCTCCCAAAGTGCTGAGATTACAGGTGTGAGCCACTGTACTGAGCCCCTGTGTAAACTTTAATCGTCATCTACTTTTCCTTAGGGCTAAAGCCAGTTAGAAGCTAAAACGTGATTTATTTTGCCGTGGGGAAAAGAAAAACAACTTAATGGGAAGAATCAAATGCTGAGACCTCATTAGAAGCTTCTTAGGCCACTTAGTGTCCATACTGTACTGCTTCCTCTGCACTGTTAACTATCCTGACCATATGCTGGCTTAGCAGAGCCTGGGGACACAAGGGCCTGGGAGGACCTGCTTCCCCTTGCCTGTGAACCCTTCTGTAGATGGCCATGTGATGCAGTGGAAACGAAGGGAGGGTTGGATCACACACATGCGTGATCACTTGCTTAGCGACTTTGGGCGAGTTGCTTTGATCTACAACTTGCTTGTTTATAAAATAGGACTTATTGAGGACTACATGGTCCTTTCCTTAGGGAAAGTTGTCCAGCCCATGAAAAGTTTTTGATAAACTAATTTCTTCTGGGTATTTATAACCTTTTATTGATGTGTTACTATATTCCAGGCATTATATAGAAGTGCTGTATATCTTATTTAATTCCCCTCAACTTCCCGTAGTCTAAGATGATTTTAGAGGCAGGATGTCTCTTGTCAGGCCCTAGGCTTCAGTTAAAGCAGAGCATACTTCAGCCTTCCCCCACATTCCTTTCTCTTCCTTTCTGCAGAAAGGAATGCATAACCCAGATAGGGATACTCGGGAAAGGCGCTGAGCCTCTTTGTTAAAATGAGGAAAAGCAAATATTAGGTGTTAAAGTCATGCCAGCCCCAAATGGAGACTTTCTTCTTGATGTATCCAGAAGGACTGATTGAAAGGGACTGGAGAAAGGCAGAACTTCCTCCCGCATGATTCAGAATTCTTCAGTGCCACATCTGGATACTGCCTTGAGGTATCAGCACCACCTAACATCCTGCTGGGGGGGTACATACCAGAGGACCCGAAGCTCAGGGTGGCACACCAAGTGAGTGGCAGGGCCAGGGTTAAAACGTGTCAAGGGTCTCTATGCATTTAGCATGAGGGACAGGCCCCCAGAGGAGGCCCCACTGTGTCCAGCTTTCACTGGACACTTACGGGTGCGTTGAGGCACTGCAGCTTCTTGGGAAAAGAAGTCACATCTTTGGACCCTTATCCTGAGAGATGATGCCTAGACCCTATGTTTCTAGCACAATCTTCACTCACAAAGCACCCCAACATCTCCCTGACAGCACACTTGAAAAGACAAGGGGACAGCAATCCAGGCAAACAATGTGAATGCAATGGCCCTGGGGCATAAAACAAAGTGGTAGTTTGAGGAACAGAGAGGAAACCAATGTGGCTGGAGCAAAGTGAGTGATGAAGAGAGTAGTTTAAGATGAGGCTGGAGAATGTGGCAAAGTCAGATCATTGCTGGACCTGACTTTGAAGGTGTACCAGAGAAAATAGACCGGTTGGGAGACTACTGTAGTAGTCCAGAGAACCAGGGTGTTGGCAGAGAAGAAAGAAGATGGACTCAGAATCCATAGGTCTTTTTGAAGGATTGAGTATAGAGAAAGAACCAAATAGGACTCCCCAGTTTCTGGCTTGAGCAGCTGGGTAGAAGGTGGTACCATCTACTGTGATGGGACGTTCTGGAAGAGGTCACGATTTGAGTACTTGAGTCATGCGCTCTATTTTGGACATGAGTTTGAGATGCCTTTTAGCCAAACTGGCAGACATGAGGCAGACAGTTGTACCTTTAAGTCTGGAGTTCAGGCAGCAGCCTGGGCTGAAGATAAACATTCAGGAATTGGCAGTATTTAGATATTGAAAGACATGGGATTGAATGAGACCAATCTAAGGAGACAGTATAGATAGAGAGGGACCTGAGGAAAGCCAACATTAAGAGGTCAAGTAGAGAAGTAGCCAGCTAAGAAGACAGAATTGGGACCAGTGAGGTCACAGGAAACCAGAAGTTAGGAGCCACAGAGGAAACAGAGTTGCAGAAAAGAGCAAGTGGTCAGCCGTATCCACTGACTGCTGCTGTTAAATCCAGAAAAAACGGCCTTGAGATTTGACGTTGTGATGACCATGCTGAGTGGATGTCAGCAGACTGGTCGGGAAAAAAGCAGATCGAAGAGGAAATTGGAGGTGAAGAAATGGAGGTAGAGGTGTAGCAATCTTTCAAGAACTTTAACGGCAAAGGAAATAGAGAAATGGAGAAAGGATTTGTTTTGTAAGGTAAGAGATCCTAGAACATTTGTACTCTGGGGGGTGATCCAGTAATGATCCCGTAGAGAGGGAGACACTGACGATACAGGACACAAAAGATGATTGAAGAGTGAAATCCTCAGAACGGGAGTTGGATGAGCTTTGGCCTGACAGACACACACAGTCACCAGCATTCCCACTGACACATACACATCACCACCAACGGGCATGGTAACAAATCTGTACCCCCAATAGCCAAACCGACAGATGCACCCACCAGCCCACCAAGTCCCAGGAATACACATACAGTATTCACTTGACACACACACACAGACACAGCAACTAACAGCCACACTGACATGTCAGATAGACCAATATCTGTACCTCCTCTCACACAGAGGGGCCCCCAGTCCCCTCCATCCCCTTAGGGGCCCCTTCCCACCCTACCCTCTGCCCAATTCCCAGGCCCTTCCTCTCCCCAGTGACATTGCCCTCTTTGGAGGCAAATCCAGGCCTGGGCTAAAGAAGGACAGGGAGGGCTTCATATCCAATGAAAGGTTTTATTAAGAGAATGAGAGATGGGGAGATGGGGGGGTACATCAACTGCAGGGGCAAAAGAACCACAAATACAAGATCCCAGCGACAACCACAGGGCACCTGACACACCTTTCTTCCCTCCCAACCCACCCACAGCCCTTTGTGAGCAAAAACACCCTCTCCCTTCTGGTCCAGCTGGCCATATCAGTGCATGGCCAGAAAACAGTGAAATGAATCCCCAACTCACTGGGATAAATAAGTTGCACTGGACATTTTTAAATTTCAAATTTAATTACAACATACATAAATAAATAGGACAGACAGCAACAGGACTGTGATGAGCAGCCTGGATTCAAGTTCTGCAATTTGTGCTTTATCTTCTTTGTTCCTTGAGGACCCCTCCTGCCCACTTCTTTCCAAGAGTAGAAGGGGTACAAAGAGTCCACTGGGGCCTCCTCCTTCCAGCACCCCTTTTCGGGGGGTAGGAGACTCTGGAATGAGGGGCACCAACTCCTCAGTAGCACCTCTGATTTATCAATTTCCCTCCTGCCACCAGTGAAAAACACAAAGGCTTTGGCCTCTAGAAGCACCCACGGCCACCCAGGCACCCTAATGGAAAGGGCTCTGCCCCATGAGCCAGACCTTTTCATGTCAATTTTCTGTTCAAACCCTTCTCAACCATCAAAGGTCAGAAAATTGCACACATGAGACAAATACCTGGGCCCTTAACTTAGCAACACACCACCACAGAGAGGCCACCCTCCCTTACTCCAAGCCAGATCCCCAACTCTGGGATCTCTGGATGAATGTTCTCTTTCTGGCCTGACTCTAATCCCACCTTTCAGTCCTTTCAGGCCCACCCCCAGGAGCTAAGTGCCTGTTTCAGGGCCTGGGAGCCCCTTAGGGATGGGGTGGGAGAAGCAGTTATTTCCGATGCTTGGCATCTTTCTCCGAAGCCTTGGTTTCACCGTGCCCACTGCCCACACTACTTAGAAACATCTTGTCCAGCCCCTTGAGTGACTCCAACAAGTAGTTCTGGAAGGCAGTGAGGGCAGCACAGATGGCAGGCCCACCGAAGCCATGGGTGATGAGGCTAAAGTGTGTCAAGCAGCTCTGCACTCCGGGCTCCAGGATGACTGCCGGGCGGCTGTTGCCCAGCGGTGAGCGGTCCTGAGCCATCAAGTCTGCAAACTCCTTGCAGATCTGCCTGGTAGGAGAAGGAGGGCCAGAGGTTGGAGGACAAAAGTCTGAGCCCAGAGAAGGACCTACTACATGCTAGGCATTTTACAGACATTAGCCACACTATTGCTGACCCTCCCAACAGTCTGCAAAATGATGAACATACTGTTTTTCACAGAAAAGGTAACTAAGGTTCAGAGAAGTCATGTGACTAGCCCAGTATCACACAGCTAATAAACAACACACGTCGATTACCCTATAATCTTTCTTTTTTGGATGTCTGGCCCATATTCAAAGTGCAGCTCAGCTACTTACTACCTTATATAGGAAACTTTCCTTGATTCCCCCTCCCACCCCAAACACCCAATGCTTCACAGAACTTTGTCTTTGAAGCTATTAGGAAACAATCCAGAATCTGCCGGAAATAATAACTAGCAGTGAATATAATTGAAGCCTGGATGCTGTGCCAAGCACACTGTCTGCATCATCTTACTTAATCTTCACAAACAAGTCTATACTATTATTATCCCCATCATATGGACAAGAAAACTGGTTTCAGACAGGTTGGATGACCTGTCAAGGTGACCAAGCTGGGATCTGAACCTAGCTCTAGTTTGCAGCCATTCATTATTCATTCCTTTGTGCATCCTGTGTGTGGCTCGGGCAAGAGGATCACTCATCATTCATCTTCGTGTCACCATGAAAGCCAGTCAGTATCTTACACAGTCAGTATCTTACACAAGCCCACGAAGTGCTTGATGAGTGAGCTGATTAGTGAGCACGTGAGCCCCACCCTAGGTATGTTTCTCCAGTGACAGTATGAGCAGCCTCAGAGGTCTCTCCATTTGGCAGTCCCAGGAGTCTGTGCTTCCTCTTCTGCCTTGGGGACTTGAGGAAAGCCTCAAAGGCAGGACGGTGGAGTTGTCAGTTTGAAGGACTGCGTTAGGTGGGAGGACTGGATGTTCTAAGCTGGAAACAGGCAAACCCAAGAATGTGAGGACAAGGTTGCCATGAGTGGGTGGAGTTTGTGTGGGCCAGACTGTGGGGCCCTCAAAGGAGTCTGAACTTTAGCCTACCAATTGGTAGTTCTCAGATTTCTCTCTCTCTCTTCTTTCTTTTTAATTTTTTTGAGACAAGGTCTTGCTCTGTCACCCAGGCTGGAGTGCAGTGGCACGATCCCAGCTCACTGCAGTCTCAACCTCAGCCTCCCGAGTAGCTGGGACTACAGGTGCGCACAATCACTCCTGGCTAATATTTTTAGTGCAGATGGGGTTTTGCCAAGTTGCCCAGGCTGGCCTTGAACTCCTGGGCTCAAGCAATCTGATCACCTCAGCTTCCCAAAGTGCTGGGATTATAGGCATAAGCCACTGCACCCAGCCTCTCTCTCTTTCTTTCTTTCTCTATCCCCCTCCTCTCTCTGTCTTTTCTTGCAGTGGGACTGCCAAAGTGTGAATGCTTACGTTCCCCAGAATTCATATGTTGAAATACTACCCCCCTAGGTGATAGTATTAGGAGGTGAGGCCTTTAGGAGGTGTTTAGGTCATGGAGGTGGAGCCATCATGAATGGGATTAATGCCCTTATTATAAAAGAAGTCAGAGAGAAACCCATTCTCCCTTCTACAATGTGAGGCCACACAGCAAGGTGCTGTCTATGAGCCAGAAAGCAGGCCCTCACCCAACACGGAATCTGCCTTGACCTTGAATTTCCCAGCCTCCAGGACTACGAAAAATAAATTTCTCTTGCTGGCCGGACGCGGTGGCTCACACCTGTAATCCAAGCACTCAGGGAGCCTGAGGCGGGTGGATCACCTGAGGTCAGGAGTTCGAGACCAGTCTGGCCAACATGGTGAAACCTCTACTAAAAATACAAAAATTAACCAGATGTGGCGGTAGGCACCTGTGATCCCAGCTACTCAGGAGGCTCAGGCAGGAGAATTGCTTGAACCCAGGAGCGGGAAGTTGCAGTGGGCTGAGATTGCACCACTGCACTCCAGCCTGGGCAACAGAACAAGATTCTGTGTCAATAAATAAATAAATAAATAAAAATTTCTGTTGTTTATAAGCACCCAGTTTATGGTATTTTGTTACAGCAGTCCAAATAGACTAAGATAAGAACTCTTTTGGAAGAACTAAATCTTTCGCCTTTTTTTTTTGAGACAGTGTCTCACTATGTCATGCAGGCTAGAGTGCATTGATGCAATCATGGCTTACTGCAGTCTCGACCTCCCAGGCTCAGGTGATCCTCTCATCTCAGCCTCCCAAGTAGCTGGGACTACAGGAGTGCACCACCACACCTAGCCAATTGTTGTATTTTTAGTAGAGACCAGGTTTCGCCATGTTGCCCAGGCTAGTCTCCAATTCCTGGGCTCAAGCAATCCGCCAGCCTCAGCCTCTCAAAGTGCTGGGATTACAGATGTGAGCCACCTTGCCTGGCCTGAAAAACTAAATCTTGCGGCCAGGCACGGTGGTTCACGCCTGTAATTCCAGAACTTTGGGAGGCCAAGGCGGGTGGATCACCTGAGGCCAGGAGTTCCAGACCAGCCTGGCCAACATGGTGAAACCCCATCTCTACTTAAAATACAAAAAATTAGCTGGTCCTGGTGGCAGGGGCCTATGATCCCAGCTACTGAGGAGGCTAAGGCAGGAGAATTGCTTGAACCCGGGAGGCGGAGGTTGCAGTGAGCTGAGATCGCACCATTGCACTCCAGTCTGGGAAACAAGAGTGAAACTCCATCTCAAAAAACAAAAACAGGCCAGGCGTGGTGGCTCGAGCCTGTAATCCCAGCACTTTTGGAGGCCGAGACGGGCGGATCACGAGGTCAGGAGATCGAGACCATCCTGGCTAACACGGTGAAACCCCGTCTCTACTAAAAAGTACAAAAAACTAGCCGGGTGAGGTGGCGGGTGCCTGTAGTCCCAGCTACTCGGGAGGCTGAGGCAGGAGAATGTCCTAAACCCGGGAGGCGGAGCTTGCAGTGAGCCAAGATCTGGCCACTGCACTCCAGCCTGGGTGACAGAGCGAGACTCCGTCTCAAAACAAAAACAAAAACAAAAACAAAACTAAATCTTAATGGAATGCTAGTTTGTTAAACAGGCCCTGAGGTGCCCTCGCAGACCTAGTTTGAAAATAAATGCAGCGGGAACCGTTGAAGATGCTTGTGCGGGGGAGCAGATACACGTGCAGGGAGGTTGGGACCAGGGAGACGCTAGGGTGAAGGTCTGGGAGTGAGATGAAGACCTTAGTAGAGGAGGCAGCATGTGAACGGTGGTGAGGGAGGCACAAAGGGACTTGCAGAGCAGTCAGGCGTGACTTGGTGGCCTGATGGACATCACTGGAGCAGAGGGTTGATGGGCAAGGCTAGAAGAGGGAGCCTCACACCTGCAATGGGGACTGGGGCTGGTGGTGTCCTGGGAGTGTATGTGGGTGTAGGACCCATGTGTGAGCCTGTGTGAGCCAGTATGTGACACCACTGTTCTTGATGCATGGAACCCAGATATGTTCACATGTAGTGTCCATGTGTGCTCCAGGAGCTTGTGAGGAGTGTTCATGTATGCCTGAGTATGATAACCATGATGCACAAATATTACCCATATGTGGCGCCCAAGTGTGCCCATGTGGCATGCACACATGTGCCCAGGATAGCCTAAGCAGGGAGCCTAGGTGCCCATGTGTGGTGCCACATGGGCCGCACGTGCGTGTGTGTGCTCAGTGCTCATGTAAACAGCGGCGCGCAGGTACGTGTGTGTGCTCACTGCTCATGTACACAGCGGCACGCAGGTACGTGTGTGTGCTCACTGCTCATGTACACAGCGGCGCGCAGGTACGTGTGTGTGCTCACTGCTCATGTACACAGCGGCGCGCAGGTACGTGTGTGTGCTCACTGCTCGTGTACACAGTGGCGCGCAGGTACGTGTGTGTGTGCTCACTGCTCGTGTACACAGCGGCGCGCAGGTACGTGTGTGTGTGCTCACTGCTCGTGTACACAGCGGCGCGCAGGTGCGTGTGTGTGCTCACTGCTCATGTACACAGCGGCGCGCAGGTGCGTGTGTGTGCTCAGTGCTCATGTAAACAGCGGCGCGCAGGTACGTGTGTGTGCTCACTGCTCATGTACACAGTGGTGCGCAGGTACGTGTGTGTGTGCTCACTGCTCGTGTACACAGCGGCGCGCAGGTGCGTGTGTGTGTGCTCACTGCTCGTGTACACAGCAGCGCGCAGGTGCGTGTGTGTGCTCAGCGCTCACGTACACAGCGGCACGCAGGTGCGTGTGTGTGCTCACTGCGCGTGTGCACAGCGGCGTGCAGGTACGTGTGTGTGCTCACTGCTCGTGTGCACAGGGGCACGCATGTATGTGTGTGCTCACTGCTGATGTACACAGTGGCATGCACATACGTGTGTGTGCCCACTGCCCGTGTACACAGTGGTGTCCATTGTGCCCATACATGTCTGTCTGTGCATGGCAGCCACGTGTGCCTGTGCGTGGTGCCCTCACTCACTTGGCGGCCAGCAGCATGCTCTTGCGGCTGTGCAGCTCCCCCGGGTCAGCATGCTGTCGGCACAGGTACTCGGCGGCTGCCTTAGCTGGGAACTCCGTCTCACAGACGTAACCGAAGTCTCGGGCCAGGTGCACGGCCTCTCCTGGGGGGAGGGGAGCTGTCACTACTGCCAGGTGTACCTCTGCGCCTGGAACACAGCTTTGAACCTCTGACCCCTTGGCCAGGAGGATCCTGCTCCATCCTGCCTCTGTAGATGCCCCCTCTGACATTCCTTCCCAGCCCGGCTCCAGCCCCGATTCCATTGCCCTCCCTTGGGGCCATTAGGGTTGGGCTCTGAGCTCAGAGATGGGAGCTGGGCCCACCATGTATTCCAGAGGCACCAACCTCCAGGGGAGGGGGCTGTGACCCCCTTCATCACTTTACCACATCCAAACACTGGTTACTCCCCACTGACACACTCACACCCACACATCCACACCCACGCACACATACACGCACACTGCAAGGTCTCCATTGCACATGCATGCACACATGTACAAAGACTACACACAGAAATCACAAACAAGCCTTCCACATGACAGAGAGCATGCACACAGATACTGCAACACTTACACGGATACACTCACCACTCAACACACCCTCCTGCATTAGAGACAGTCACACCAGACAACTCACTTGCCCTCGCAGCCACTCCCATGCCCACCTTCAGGCCTCACTCACCTTCCACTAGCGAAGTCAGCAGCGTCACGTTGGCAGCCTTGCGACGACCAGCTGGCAGGTTGAGTCCAATCTTCTCTAACCGTTCCCGCAAACACCGGCCCCCATTTTTGGACTTGGCCCTTGACATGCACAGAGAGAGACAGACGTACAACTATGAAGACAAGAGAAACGCGTGGAGGCCAAGTGACCGCCAAAGGGCCTTGTTGCCTCCACCAGCCCCTGTTGAGGTTTGTGTCTGGTCCTGGGGATGCTCTGGGGTCTCTTTCAGCAAGGGCGCAACCTCTTCCTAATCTCCCATGGTTTTGCAGCCAAGACAGAGGCGGGGGGCCAGCACCCAGCTCCAGGAGCCCTTCAGTTCACTCTAGTCCTCTCAACAGCAGGGGCAGCCAGGGTGGGGCATCCTGGGATCTTTAGCACATCAGATGGCCACACACAGCTACCCGGGGATACACAGACCTATATGTAGAGACGCGCAGTGACATACAGAAAGAGAGACACATGGGGAGACACAGGTACACACACAGCCACCTGGGGACTCACACACACACACACACACGTGAAAGAAGAGAGACACGTAGAACCAGCAGAGACAGACATATGCAGAGACACAGACTCAGACACCTAGGGACACAGAGACACAGGATCACACCAAGTCAGGGTCCCAGGAACACATGTACAGACACTCAGGGACTCACAGAGATCCGCCAAGATGCTACGAGTAAGGAGATATCCCCTATGACTGCACAAATGCCACTCCCACACACCAGATGGCCAAACATCCATGTGACTAGCTCCAGATGCACAGGCAGTCATACACACACACACACACACACACACACACACACAGCAGGACACACTCTAGGCCACACATCCCACTAGAAGAAACACAGGATACTCACTCTCATGGAAACATGCTCCTGGCCATCCGCTACTATAGACACATGCACACACACACACACACGTCCACACCATCCTCAGACTCATCCAAGCTCACGGCCCTGAAGCAGAAATACCCTTCCCAGGCACAAGGACACGCACAGAGAGTAAGAGACACAGGTCTAGGAAGACGAACCATGGACTACCATGCCCCACACCCCAAAACACACAGGGCCTATGCTGCCGCGCAGAATGGGCCTTGGGTCCTGGGGTTCACTTCCTGGAAGGGGGTTGAGGATGGCCCTCTCTCTTCCCCAGACCCAGTCTCGTCCTGACCAGTGTGGATGAGTTCTCCATCCCTTCTCTGTGCCCAGGCTTCTTTCTCTGCCCACTTCCCCACCCCAGACCCACAGACACGTGGCGGCCACCAAGGACCTGGGCCGGCCCCCATAGCATGCACAATCCAGAGTCCCCAGGGCCTCCCCTCCCAGGGAGACTGAGGCAGGGGGGCTAGGTGAGACTGGCCTCCTCTCTGATGCCCTGAGAAGGCCTGAAGAGGCCAGGGATCCAGCCAGGTGGGGAATCGAGGGCTGGCCTTCCTACCTGCGGAGGACACCCCCCAGGAGGGAGGCGTTGAGGCACTCAGGAGGCGAGAGTCGCCGCTGCACCTCCCCCACCGTCACCTTGTACTTGGACGTTGAGCTGAGCAGTGAAAGCCGGCCGGGCACAGAGCAGAAGACCTCACCAGGATTCGTGATGCCGCCCACCAGGCTGTCTTTGGCCAAGGAGAGGGCTGAGAGGCTGCTAGCTTTGGAGGGGATGGGCACTGTGGAGAAGAGCAGGGAGAGGGAAACACTGAGCCAGCGACCATCGCACACAGCCCCACTCGAGGGAGGGTCTGGTATCCTTGCTTTATGAAGGGAGAAACGGAGGCACAGTGAGATGAAAGTGACTCGTCCAAGTTCCCTCAACTGATGGATGTGAACTCGGAGACTGAGCTCCGAGCTGTCTGGTTCTTAAATCTGTGTCCCCCTCACTGAACCAAGCTGGTCCTATCTTAAACTCAAACAGCTCCAGCAGAATCTTGGTGTTTTAGCAGATGCCATCAGAGAGGGACTTGGATGTAAGGATATGAGTGTGAGCTGGAGGCAGGACCCCTAGGGCCCTGCAGCAGGGCCAGGCCAGGGCTGGGCAATCACAGGGAGTCCCCAGATTCCCTCTTCCCACCCGTGATTCCCACGTCTTTCCTCCCCACCCTCCCACCCCACCCCTGCATCAATGAGGGGCCTGGAGACTGTGGGCTCCACATCCCTGGGCCAGAGAGGTTATTGCGCTATTAATGCCTTCAGCCCTGGCCCTCTCTTCCTGCCAAGTCACTCTGCGAATGCTAAAGGAGACCAGGAGATAGGCCCTATACCCCCTCCCCAAACACTCCCTAATTATCTGCTAATTGTCTGAAGACCAGAGAAGGGAATTTGAGAAGTTAATTTTTTTCTTTTTTTTTCTTTTTTTTTTTGAGATGGAGTCTAGCTGTCACCAGGCTGGAGTGCAGTGGTGTAATCTCAGCTCGCTGCTGCAACCTCCGCCTCCCAGGTTCAAGCGATTCTTCTGCCTCAGCCTCCTGAGTAGCTGGGACTATAGGTGCCCGTCACCACGCCTGGCTAATTTCTGTATTTTTAGTAGTGATGGGGTTTCACCATATTGGCCAGGCTGGTCTCAAACTCCTGACCTCGTGATCCACCTACCTTGGCCTCCCAAAGTGCTGGGATTACAGGCATGAGCCACCACGCCTGGCCAGAAGTTGATTTTCTAAAATTCACTTAGACATTATTGGCTATAAGAGAAAGGAAGTTCTTCCTGCAGTCTAACCTCCATCCTCTTGCTTAGCCTCGGGGGAAGGGAGAATATTGAAGCACTTGCTTCTTTAGCGGAATCTTTTGGCCCTCTCTTCCTTTAAGGAGGTGAGAGCCTTGGTAGACAAGGCCTCATGTGTGCATCAGGCTCGAGTGTGGAATCTGGGACTAACAGCTACTGAGCACTCACTGCTGTGAGGTCCCATAGATAAACCCACTCAGTCCTTGGAACAACCCACAAGGGGCTACCCTTATCACTATTCCCATTTTACAGATGAGGAGACTGATGTCCAGAGAGGTGAAGTAATATGCCTGAGATCACACAGCTGGTAGACGGAGAACCAGTAGCAAACCCAAGACTGCAGTCTCAAAGGCAGTGCTCTTAGCCTTCCAGCCTCTTGGCAATATTGGCTGAGCACTTGCATGCCAAGAATGGTGCCAGGCCTGAGGAATACAAAAGTAGGAAAGGCTAGCCTGATCCCAAGCCTGGCAGAACATCTCGTCTCTCCCTCTCTGGATAAACCTCTCCACCCCCACTCAGCAGCCCAGCCAGAAACCTCTGTGATACCCTCTGCAACCCTCTCCCCAACCACATCATCCCATCCATCACCACATCCCGTCCATCACTACATCCCATCCATCACTACATCCCATCCATCACCACATCCCGTCCATCACTACATCCCGTCC